CCAGGAGCTGTGGTGCATGCCTGTAGTCCCAGCTACTTGGGAGGCTGAGGCAGAAGGATCACTTGAGCCCACGAGTTCGGGGCTGTCATGTGCTATGATTGTGCTTGTGAATAGCCACTGGACTCCAGCCTGGGCAGCATAATGAGATAGCAACATATTGAGACACGATCTCCTAAAGAAAAAAAAAAGCAATTTAATTTTATATCTATTAAGAGTCTGTTATAGTAATAAAACTTTAATTCTAGAAATATATTCAGAATCAAGGTAAGAAGCATATGGAAAACAAATTGTCAACAATGATGGATTGTGTCCAAATTCACATTTTACTTTCTCAAGTAGTTTCCCCATGATTTACACTCATGCATTTTCCCAGAAGTACTTGCTGTTCTCTGCATTGAAATAACAACTTAGCTACCTCTTAAGATCTCTAAAAATGTCCTTGAGGATGTAAAGGGTACAATTAGAGGAATAGGCCATCTATTGCTGCTGACTGGGGTTAAGTCAAAATTAGCACTCATCTTAATCTACCTTCTCCAATTTGTTTCCAAACCTTCGGAGATTTCAAAAAGAAACCAAGTGTTTTTAGATTATCCAGAGAATGCAGTCTCTGTCACTTTTTTAAAGTGTGACTTTTAAAAAGAGAGATATTAAAGAGTTTTAGATTCCAATTAAATTTGCCATTTATTAAATTTGTCACCATTTCTTAATAAACATAGATAAGAATCTCATAGATGAGGAATCATAGAAGTATAAATAAGTCTCTGAAAAGATGCAAAATCCCACTGAAAATTAAGGAAGTGCATGCTACTCTAATAACAAGGAATTATTTTGCCCTTCTCAGATTGGCAAAGATTTAAAAGATTGATAAATATTGGCCAGGCTCGGTGGCTCAGCATATAATTGCAGCACTTCGGGAGGCCGAGGCCAGGGGATTGCTTGAGATCTTGGGATCGAGATCTACCTGGGCAACTTGTCAAGACCTCATTTCTACAATTAAAAAAAAAAATTAGCTGGCATGATATTGTGTGCCTGTAGTTCCAGCTACTTGGAAGGCTGAGGTGGAAGGATCGCAGGAGCCCACCCAGTAGGTCGATGCTGGAGTGGCCATGAATATGTTTGGAATAAGCACTCTCACTTTACCAGTGACGGGAAAATAAAAAGATATTATCATTTTAGATGGTAATTTGCAATGTTGATTAGATGGAGGGAAACCCCCCAAAATCAGAATTTATTTATAAAAAATTGTGCACTTATTCTTACATGTTGAAACATCAGTCACCTTCAAAGTACTCTCCATTTGATACTATACATCTATCGAGACACTTTTTCCACTACTCAGGACTGGTTTTGAACCTGTCAATTTTGATGCCTTTTAGTGCTTCTGCCGTTTTTTGTTTCACCTCTTCCACATGGGCAAAACGTTTCCCTTTGAGAACTTTTTTCATATGGTGAGACCAAAAAACAGTTGCTCGGGGAGAGACGGGGTGGATAGGGAGGGTGGAGCATGTGGGTCATGCTGTTTTGGGTCAAAACTCCTGAACGCAGCAGCAGTGTGGGGCAGGTGTGATTGTGAATTACCCATCATGAAATAGGCAAACATTTGAAAGAATCTCCCCCCAAAATTCACTGAAGCTGAATGCAGCCTCTCACAACAACACCAGCTGGTGAACTGATACTGATGGGGCCCCAGAACACTTACCTTGGAGGGAAGCCAGGACTACAATGGGCTTGCCCTCCAAAAAATAATTCTGAGACTTTTTTTGAGTCCCCCCCATAATCTTTTTTTTTTTTTTTTGAGTTGGAGTCTCACTCTGTCGCCCAGACTGCCGCTTCCGGCCACCGCAGCCTCGACCTGCTGGGCTCCGGCGATCCTTCCACCTCAGCCTTCCGAGTAGCCAGAATTACAGGCATGTGCTACCATGCCCGGCTGATTTTTTGATTTTATTGTAGAGATGAGGTCTCGCTGCCCAGGCGGGTCTCGAACCCGCGGGCTCAGGCAATCCACTCACCCCAGCCTCCCGAAGGCGCAGGATTACAGGCTGAGCCACCAAGCGCAGCCCCTCATAACCTGAAATATGCACACCCTTTGACTCAGCGATTCTATTTCAAATAATCAGTTTTAGAGAAGTACTTTTTTTTTTTTTTGAGTTGGACTCTCACTTTGTCATCAAGCTGGAGTGAAGTGGTATGCTCAGGGCCACCGCAGCCTCGACCTGCTGGACCCAGGTGATCCTTCTGCCTCAGCCTTCCAAGCAGTTGGAACTACAGGCACATACCACCAAGCCCGGCTAATTTTTTGATTTATTGTAGAGATGAGGTCTTACCAAGTCATCCAGGCTGGTCTCAAACCCATGGACTCAGGCAATCCTCTTGCCTCTGCCTCCCAAAGTGCTGGGATTATAGGCTTATTGAGCCATCGCGCCCAGCCTTAGAGAAGTATTTTCATAAGCGTGTGAGGATACAAGCACAAGAATAGTCCCTGAAAGCTGATTCATAATGATGAACATTGAAAATAGCTTTATTACTCATTAATGGGGCAACAGAGTACCATGCAGTATTCCAAGATTGCTCATTGAGAGAAAAAAAACCAGTGGCTTCAACAGTTAGTAGTGAATGAATAATACAATGGCATTTCTGTAAAATTAGCATTTATGTGATCTTATATAATGAGTACATGATAGGTCCTCATTAAATATTTAGGTTATGTTAGCACTAATTAGCATATAAGTTAAAATGTGCATTTAAAATCTAGATGTTTGGACCGGGTACGGTTGCTCATGCCTGTAATCCCAGCACATTGGGAGGCAGAGGCGAGAGGAGTACTTGAGTCCAGGAATTCAAGACCAGCCTATGCAACATATCGAGACCTCATCTTTACAAAAAATTTTAAAAAGCGACTGGACGTGGTGGAGTTTTCCTGTAATCCCAGCTACTTGGGAGGGGGAAGCAGAAGGATCACCTGAGCCCAGAAGGTCAAGGCTGCAGTGAGCCATGATTGTGCCACTGCACTCCAGCCTGGGCAACAGAGTGAGACCCTGACTCGGAAGAAAGAGAGAGAGAAAGGAGAAAGAGGAGAGAGGAGGAGAGAAAGAAAGAGAGAAATAAGAAAGAAAGGAAGGAAAGATTATGCATTTTATAATCCATATGATTATATTTGCACTTTTTAAAAAAGATTAATGAAGCCAGGCACAGTGGCTCATACTTGTAATTCCAGCACTTTGGGAGGTGGAGGCGAGAGGATTGCCGGAGCCAACGGGTTCAAGAACAGCCTTGGCAACTTGGTCAGACCTCATCTCTACAATAAATCAAAAATTAGCCAGGCACAGTGGCTCATACTTGTAATTCCAGCACTTTGGGGGGGGGAGGCGAGAGGATTGCCGGAGCCAATGGGTTCGAGAACAGCCTTGGCAACTTGGTCAGACCTCATCTCTACAATAGATCAAAAATTAGCCGGGTGTGGTAGCGTATACTTGTAGTTCCAGCTACTTGGAAGGCTGAGGCAGAAGGATTGCCTGAGCCCAGCATGTCAAGGCTGCGGTGAGCCGTGATTGTGCCACTGCACAAAATTAATATTAGCAGCCGGGCTCGGTGGCTCAGCCTGTAATCCCATCAATTGGGAGGCCAAGGCGAGTGGATTGCCTGAGTCCATGGGTTTGAGACCAGCCTGGATGACTTGGTAAGACCTCATCTCTACAATAAAATCAAATCAGTCAGACGTGGTAGCGCGCACCTGTAGTTCCAACTACTTGGAAGGCTGAGGCGAAGGGATCACCGGTGCCCAGCAGGCGAGGCTGCGGTGGCTGGGAGCGGCCACTGCACTCCAGTCTGGGCGACAGAGTGAGACTCCAACTCAAAAAATAAAATAAAATAAAAAATAAGCTGGGCTCGGTGGCTCAGCCTGTAATCCCGCACCTTTGGGAGGCTGTTTGAGTGGATTGCCTGAGCCAGCGGGTTCGAGACCCGCCTG